GTTGTGGTGAAAACGCAAGCAAACACTGTACCAGACGTGAACGTGACACCTTAATGGCAGCTGCACCTCTGCTCTATGAGGTAGCTTTTTTTGCCAAGGTGAGAACATGGGGACATGGGGAGAGGTCCACAGTTCTGCCCTGCAAATCACAGCCTTCAGCAATCCCACAGACAGCTCCCGGCTATGTCAATGCTGGCATACAAGTTCAGCTGTTGGAAGAGCAGTAGCTGGGGCAAATTAGAGCCCCTTCATCCAGGATGCTGGAGCTGTTTTTGTTGTTCTGGAGGTGACCTGTTCTTCAGAGCTAACTTGGCACCCCAGTATCACGTACAGGGATGTAGAGCCTGTGATACCTGGAAGCATCCAGGGGAAAGATGGACATGAAACCCAAGTGCACCAACAAGGCAGTCCTGGTCTTATCAGCAGTCTCCCCTTTTATGATGTCCTGGACCCGTCTCCTGGTGAAACCATCTGTGCACAGGGTAAACTTCACCCTTCCCCAGCCCAGCCCAAGGTGGGAAGGTGAGGTTGGCCACTGAGCAAAGGCCAGAGCTGCATGGTTTAGCTGTGTGCTTGATGATACAATAGAAAATGCCTCTGAAGTCCCAGCCCTCTGGAGCATTTCCTTAGCTTGCTGGAATTTCCGTTTAGTTCTTCCTCTCCCAGGCTCTTACCGAAAACTGGTGTCACCATATGTGTCTCCTCAGCAGGCTCTGGAGACTGGCCAGCTCCCTTGGTCCCCCTCCCAGGTCTCTCACCGATGTGCCGGGCATTTGCAAGGAGCATGCTCCCTGCGGGTGTCAGCTTTGGCTCGCCCCTTGATTAATCACCAAAGGCAACTCTGCCAATCAAGGAAAGATTTACAAGGCAGGCAGGAAGCTCTTGTTTTTACAGGAGTGCCTCAAACACACGCACACAGTAGGAAAAGCAAACATTCCAGGCATACCAAGGGATCCACGGGATAAAAATTCCCCAAACAGCACAGATTAAGATACTTGGCGGCACATGGAAACACTAAAACCTGAACTCAAGGATTTAATTGTCTTATTGAGCTCTGAGTGCTGCGTGGAACAACCTGAGCTGCATGGGAACAGCCACCCCAGGAGGGCAGGGAGAGGGTCAGCGACGGTGCCCTCCATACAATATGGGTCAGGGCTGGCCCCCACCCCTCTCCCATCTCCATATGGTTGCCAGAGCCTTCTTGGCAGAGTTTAATGTGAGCTCTCCCTTGCAAATGCTCAACCCTGCTCCTTAGCAAGGCAGGCAGGGGTCACTCTGCATCAATGCAACACTGAATTCAAGCCCATCGGAGCAGAGAGAACCTCTGTTCTGGCTCCGACTGCCAAGACCCCTGGCCTGAGAGCAGCAGTCTTTATGCTGGGTCGATGCCCATTACCTCCCATCCTACCCTAAAGCCCTCTGAAGTGAGTAGAAATGCTCTCATCCTCTCTAGTCCTAAATGCTAGCCCAGGAGATGCAGCAATGCCTCTGCAACTGTTTGCCTGAGGTACTCTTCAAGGATCATCAGGGTTGAATGGGAAGACAAACATGCAGGCTAGAGCTGGTCCAGTCCCACCAGTGGGTCCAGCTGCTTCTACAGAATAATCTGTGTCCTGGGCTGCAGGACCAGCTTACTCCTTGGCTGTCACTGTTTAACAGACACAGCAATATTTTTCATTTATGGGTTTTCAAGGGACCATGAGAAAGGCAGGAGGGGAATTTTGTCCTTCCAAATGATGTGCTTCCCCTTTCTCTGGTGTTCTTTTGAACTTCTTTTTTTTTTTCCCAATTTGAAACAATTTTTTCAAGGGAATCCACTCTCTGGCTGTATTTCCCAGTTTGTCAAGTCATCTGTGCGATCAATTCACACCCATCTGGTTAGTCTGTGGGATAATCTGGAGTCTACATCAGGCTCTGAATCTCTAGGTGAAGAAGAGGAAGGAGCCCTGCAGGGCAAGAAGACAAGAAGGCCCAGAAATACTCTCCCCTCTGAAAGGATTGGTTGCCACACAAAGGTTCCTTTTTCACCTTTACTGCAAACCACCCCACAGAAAGTGGAATTTGACCTCTCCTAGTTACACATGGCTTCTCCATTTCTGCTCCAAGCCAGTAGCAGGAAGCCCCAGCTCCCACTCACAGATGGATGGTTTCTGGAAGAGTGGTGGAGGGAACTGATAAGGAAATAAGTCACCTGCTGAAAGCGAGAGTTAAGGGAAGCACTTGCTTGAGATCATTGAATCACAGGATGGTTTGGGTCAGAAGGGACCTTTAAAAACCATTTAGTCCACTCCTCCTCAAAATGGGCAGGGACACCTTCCACTAAACCAGGTTGCTCCAAACCCCATCCAAAGTGACCTTGAACACTGCCAGGGATGGGGCAGCCACAGTTTCTCTGAGCAACCTGCGCCAGCTCCTCACCACCCTCATTGTAAATAATTTCTTCCTTTTATCTAACATATATTTACCCTTTTTAAAACTGTTGTCCTTGCCCTGTCACTACAGGCCCTTGTAAAAAGTCCCTCTCCAGATTTCTTCTAAACCCCCTTTATATATTGAAAGGCCACAATAAGGTCTCCTGAGCCTTCTCTTCTCCAGGCTGAAAAACATCAACTCTCCCAGCCTTTCTTCACAGAAGAGGTGGTTCCAGCCCTTGGACCATTTTCATGCCCTCCTCTAGACCTGCACTAACAGGTCCATGTCTTTCTTGTGCTGGGGGCCCCAGAGCTGAATGCAGTAATTATCCTAGAATAAAATCCTCATTTACACACTCAAGAAGTCACCAGCCATGCCCTAAGAAGGTGCAGATTGCCCTGAGCATTTATCCCAAATTGCAGCCCATGCTCAGGCATGAGTGGGGCTGCCCCAAAACCTTGCGCCAGCTCCCCTCCTGCAGCCCAAGCTTTCACAGAGGTCTTGTAGCTGTGAGGATGCTCCATGGGATTCAGATGTGAGAGCATGGCTTGAACTTTGAGAGTTTGCATTGCCATACTTCATATCATTACTGCAAGCAGTTTCCTTATGGTCCTCCTCCCTTTCCTGCCCCTGTTCATCACCAGCAGATGCCCAGGAGACCTTTTGACAGCTAGCTCAAAGCTGGGACATGAAAACACCCTTCAGAAACTGGTTTTGTCCCAGTGAATAGGACTGGCTTTAATGCTCTGTATTTCTTCTGTGATCACATGCATCACTGCCTGCAACCTTCCATCTAGCACTTGAATTTAACCCTGATTCTATGTCAGCTTTCTCAGCACCCTCCTCCTCTCAGGAGCCTGCCAGCATCTTCCCTTTCTGGGGCTTCTGCGAAACCTCCACAGCTTCTAGCTTGGCAATTGACATCTAAAAAGTTCGGTATCTGCTTAAAAAGAAAAAGCTGGCTGTGTTTAGGAAGCTTAACGTGGCATGGTAGGGATGTGAGTCATCACCACCAGTGCTTCATTCTGTGCCACGGTTGTTTCATTTGCCCTTCACCACAGCAGAATGAGGTATTTCAGATTGCTGCATGACAGTGGCACTTGGCCCACTAGTACCACTAGGAAGAGGTAAATTAAGTCATACTGTGCAGCCAAGGAGCCATCCTGAGGGAAATGGCCACTGCACACACCAGGAATTGGAAACAGGCACTTGCGTGATACACACCCCACTGGCTACAATGCACCCTAAACACAGGCTCAACGGGTTGCTGGATAGAGATGTGCTTAGAGCTATTCCCGTCCTGAGCAGGGTTAATACACAGTGAAGCTGTGAACTTAACCTTCAGCTATGCAAATTACAGGGAACGAAAAATGCAACCAAGGTGAACCAGTATTATAAATGCACATTAACTACAGGCACTGCATTAGAACGCGTAAGCTTGCTGAACTGGGGCAGTGGAAAAAAGCAGGTTTCAGCCTCAGATCTAACTGGGGTGAAATATCAGCTCTTTGTTCCAAGCGCTTCTGCTGTCACATGTGATCCCACTTTGATAGAGTGACTGTAAAAAATGGGCTGAACAGCTGAATACGCACGAGTCATAAGGCAGCTATGTTGACAAATTGAATCATACTTAGTGGGATGATACCCAAGGCAAAAAATTGCCAAGATTAGTGAGCAAGGGCTGTGACAGCATCAGCAAAGGCACTCTGCTGAGACTTGGAGCAGGGGTTTGGGCTCTAAATCCACACATCAAGCCCCTCCTTGGAGGCAGCAAGTGAAAGCATGGGCAGTGAAGGATTCATAGGGCGCATTTAAATGACAGATCAAGGATCTTATGCTTTATATACCTAAAAGTAGATGTATACCTAAAATTACCAACCATTCCTCTAGCCCCTAAATTAATTATTCAGTGGAATTACTTTGTTATCCCACTAATTCGAAATATGCTGTTTCAGCACCCAGGTACGTGAACTACATTGCTTTCACACTGAAGCTATGCTAAAGGCGGAGGCTTGGGTGGTGTGCAATTAATCAGCCCAGATTCTGAAATTAGCTGCATTCCCTATTGCTTGGGGAAGGGACATATGGATCCATGTGTGTTTAAATGCCCGGTAACAGGATTCTGGTTTACATGCACCAAATGTCATCATTTTGAGTCATTACACATCAATGTACTGAGCAAGAAGCTCAAAGGCATAGTAAAGAATTAAGTCATGAAGTTAACCATCAGCTGCAAAAATTACAGGGATTGAGAAATGTAACTAGTGTAAAACTGCACTGTAAAGCCATGCCAGGAGTTAGGACATACAGTCTCTCACACATCCAGCTATTGTTCTGTTTGCTTTTAGAATAAAAACATTACTTTTTTTTTGCCATGTATGTAAAAGGACAAAGAGGGAAAAAAAAAAAAAAAAGCAACTACAACAAGAAACATGTCTCAGTCTGGAGGCATTGAAATTGTAACTTATGTACGCATGTATGTAGTTACTGACATTGTAGAGATATCAGTAGCCTTCATACCAAACACCATGTAAAAGGAATCAGAACATGTAACTCCATGTAAATGCCCTCCTATGTCTGAGACAAACCTGTCAGGTTGCACGGGTTATACAGATGGCAGATGACCACCACAGTCATGTTGACCTTTCCAGCACACACAAAAACACAGACGGTTTAAAATCAGCATTAAAGTCACCGTCCTTACGCTGTCCGGGTGAGGATAAGGAAGTGGTGTTATCTACCCAGAGGCTCAGAGGAGCTCGTTTGAGATAGCAAATGCAATTCCTGAGAAGATACTTCCTATTTTTATTGAACTCTAGGATTTCTGTGGAGATTATATGGCATGCTGGAGGAAACCGCAGGTAGGGGAACATGCCTGTCAGAGGAATCCCACAGCCCCGGGGCTGAGGCAACAGCTGCACTTGGTGTTAGGGTGCTGGAGCAGAAGGGAAGCCTCAACTCTCAGCACAGTGCCTGCTGACAGGGGAGCGGGCGGTGCCGGGCAGCGGTACAGCCTCATGTGTGCCACGTCTGCCTTGTGGTCAGGGAAGACCATCCTTCCTCCTTTCCTAGTCTGCAGGATATTGGCCGGTAAATTCAGCGCTCTGACTTTAATTCCGCAGATTTAGCCACGGACAGAAACAGCAGGAGTGCTGCAGAAGAGTCTTGGCTTCGTAGAGCTAAACCGAGAAAAACCTCACACCTTTCCTTATCCACGAATTCAAACAAATGCCCCACTCCCCATCCAGCTCCCGGATGCACTTTCAACTAAAACGGGGGGATCGGAAGGAAGAAACAAATGGAAAGCCAATTGAAGCAGTACGTCCTAGCAGCGGGTCCAGCGCGCGGCTGCCGTGCCCTCTGCAGGGCAGCTGTCACATAGCACTTCTGCTGCCGGGAGTCAGGCACCTTCGCTTGCCAAACCCGTGAAGCGTTAAGTGGGGCGCTAATTAAGTTCCTAAACTAACGAGAAAGGTCGTTTTAATTAATCCAGACACCACCATCACTTAAACGCCCCGCAGGCATGAAAAACTAGTGGATCTCCTGCAACAAAGGCTGCCCCAAAATGTCATTGCTACCCCAAGTGCTTTGTTCCGCAGCTTCCTCCTTTGCCACCTTTAGAGTTCTCTGGGAAACCTACGCCAGTGTCTCATCACCTTCATAGTGAAGGATTTTTTCCTAATACCTCATCTAAATCTCCCCTCTGTCAGCTTAAAGCCACTGTCTTGCCCTGTCACTGTAAAAAGCCCCTCTCCAGTTATCTTATTGTCCCCTGTAGGTGAAAGATCATTTTTCACTCCTCATGTGGAAAAGTCTCTCCAGGGCACTGCTGCAGCTTCCCCTGCTGACTGGCTATCCCAGAGGAAACAGCTGATAATGACTGGGAAGCTCAGTGTTAAAAAGCCCTGTTCACAGTGGGGCAGGATGAGATGTTGCCTTAAGAGTCGCGCGCGGTTGCCAGGAGACAGTTCCATAGCAAACGGTGTAGCGGGGCCAACAGGTAGACTTCCCGGGGTGGGCAGTCTCAGGTCACAGCTGGAATCACAGCGATAGAACGCCGAACGCAACCGCTCCCCCTCAGTCAGTGCTTCACCCATGGCCCAGGAGGGCGGTTCGAAGCGAGGGGCCGAGAAGCGGGCCCCGCGGCTACTGCATCAAGTCGGAGCCTGGTAAACTGGGATTGGTTATCTACTCGACACCAGCGGGAACAGGAAGCAGGAAGGGGGGGGCAGAGGCCCGCTACCACCGGTCTGTGTTGCCTGCCGTTGTCCCTCAGGACGCGGAAAGGCTTCTTCGTCCCGTGTGGGACCAGAGCGGCTTGTCCCCAAGGGCAGATGGGCCTGTCCCCGCCCGCAGCGCCAGGAGGGCCCCGCAGCTCCCCGCATCCAGGCAGGGCCCCTGCGACCCGACCTCCCTCAGCAGCTAGCTCCACGACAGCTTCCCGTACTGGGGCTTAAATGCCCTCGCCCCGGAACAGGAGGGCCCGAAGGGCTGGACCCTGAGGGCGGGTAGAGGCGGGCCGGCTTTGGAGGAGGCGGAGAGAAACCCCGGCCAGGGAGAGCGTCAGGCACGGGGAGGCGGGCAACGCGCATGCGCGACTGCACCGGCTCCCCGCTCCCCCCTCCTTTCAGGGTGCGGTGGGTGGTTCACGGACTGACGGCGCCGGAAGCTAATGGGAGGGCGCACCGCCGCACCTCGCGGGGAGGGGGGGGCAGGCCGAGCCGAGCGCCGAGGGCCCCGGTGCACTTCCGCCGCGGGCGGGCTGGCCGCGGCCTATGTACCAATGGCTGCTGGGGGTCCTCGGTACCCTCTTCGCCGCCGCCGCCCGCCGCCCCGAGCCGTCCCCCGCCCCGCCGCCGCTGCGCAAGAGGCCGCCCCCCAGGTCAGCGAGCCTCCCGTGGGCCTCGCCCCGTCACACAGCCCCCATTCACCCCACCGCGGCCTGCCTCCCGGATGGGGCCTGCGAGAATCCCCTGCCGCCTGTCTGCCGGTTGAGGCGTTAGAACCGGGGGGCGGAAGCGGCGTTGGTCGCTGTGTTGCATCTCGGGTGCAGTGCGGTATCTCGCTCTGGGGTTCCCCTCGCTCCGGCTGCCCGCCCCTGGGCTGGGCTAGGCCCCTCTGCCCGCCCAGATTCCCCCTTCTGGGCGGTGGGGCTCGGGATGGGCTCCCGTGAGGTCCTCGCCATCCACCGTCCTTTCCGTCTGTGTCAGAAGAGCGGGTGAAGCGGAGTCGCTGAGCCTGAGGCTGGCCCGGCTTTGGGCCCAGTCTCACGCTTCTGTCGGATAGCCCTGCGCCCACGGTCACGGTTGGATGCTGAGATGATTCAGATATTCCCAATAAGTCCGTTGGCAACGCCCTCCTTGCCCCCGTTCCTCTCCCCCGCCCCTTTGCTTCCCATCTATACAGTGGGGGTTTGAAGAGAAGGCAAGGGGTGGAGGTTTGGAGGTGTGTTGGATGAGCAGAGAGCAGTGTACATACATATAGGGATATACTGGATGGAGGAAAGTCGTGGCATGGGGATGTGGTATGTATGTGCAGTGGGAGAAAGGGGGGTGCCTTCCCAGGCATCAGACATTGCTAGTGCTCCAGAGCTTCCAGCGATGGATGGCTCAGCCACCTCCATGCCTGTCACTCCTGTCCAAGGAGAGAGAGTGTATGATTTACATGCCATGTTTTGGGGAGTATGGTTGCTCCTTCTGGGAAAAACTTGATTGAGGAGGCTCTGCTTAGTGTCACATTCAAGAGTGAATGGGAATTGTGAATGTCTTCTGGAAAGAACCACTTGTTGCACAAGTAGTTTGTTTGCAGCTACTGTGCAGAACATAATCTCGAGCTGAAGAATGTGCCTTTGTAGGCACCACAGGCTGTCGTGTTATAGTCTGAGTAGGAGACCCAGTTTTGCTAAGAGATCGCTGGAAATGATGAGCACAGCAGTCAGGATGAAATTTGAGTGAAACTGTATTAGTTTGCTTCAGAAACGGACCTGCTGAAAATAAGTCTTCAAACTGTGCTCAATGAGGTGTGCTGTGAAATGGCAAAGATATTCCTAGGTCCCATGTTGTGAGTCTCTTCAAGGAAATCTAAACCACAGGGGGGTAATCTCTGCCCACTTGAGGTTTTACCTTTTAATTCTTGCTAGAAATTGAGCAGGATGATACAAGTACTTTGCTTTCTTCAGTTTTGCCTTATTGGAAATAAATATATATGTATATTACTGTGTTGGAAATATCCAATATGCTGAGTAAGAATGCATTTTTATAGAATAGATTTGCATTTAACTGCTACACCACATTATTTTCTGCCTGACTTTAATAGCATGGTAATAGCAGATATTCTTATATTGTGTAAAAGGTGCAGTTAAGGGTATTGGCTACTTTGTACTCCTAATACCGATGGAAAGTAGTCCAGAAGCCATGATACCAGCAGGGTTGGGGGGGCATAACAGTTTAAAAGAAAGAGCAAAGAATTCTTCAGAGAATCCTTGCTCTCTGTCGTGGTATTTCATAAAAAGGAAACAACCTTTGTGTTCTGTTTCCGAAGTAAAAATGCTTTCTCTTTGTATCAACTGACCTAATACTTGGGCTTACCCTTTATAAGAAAGGGTGCAGCTAAGAGTTATTCCAAGAACTAATTCATGAGCACTGAGTTAACAGTAAGTTATTTAAGTGGGTGTATGCATGAGTTGCTTTCCCACCTTTTATTTCTTGTCCTGCTTGTACACTTCCTTGTAACTTAGTGTAGTGACTTACAAACTCAGATGCCTTAGTAATCTCTGGTATGCTTCTTTCCTTGATGAAAGAGTAAAACTTTACGTATTAAGGTATTTTTTTGTGATAAGAACAGGTGTAAAACATTAGGAAGCGTTAACAGAATGAGGAAAAGAGGCTTAATATGCTTTAGTGGAATAATTAGCTCTATTTGAGTGGTCCATTGACTGGGAGAGGTGGAGAAGCATTGTTGAGAGCTGCTCAGCAGTGATAGTTGGGTATGTCTGAGATGATGCTGGGGCACTTGGAAGAGGAAACCTTTGGGATATGAGCACTAATGTTGGAAGTTTGGACTCTGGGAAGGGAAGTCAGCCCTTTAGGAGCTGTGGTTTTAAAACACTTGTTCTGTGTGTTCTTTCCTCAGCATTTGGCCATCTGTGGAAGATTTTGATGAGATTCCAGAAAAAAAACCAAATTCAGGTATTGCACATTACGGAAGTATTTAATATGCCTAATTTTTTGCAAGTTTTATGTATCTTGGGAAACTCTGGCTTTTGTACTTCTGCATTGTTACTGAAACTGTGGCTTTTCAAGCCATTCATTCCTTGGGGCCATCTGTGTAGCCAGCGGATTGAGCCTGTATCACAGGGCCTGGGTTTCTAGACCTCAGCGACTAGCTTCTCTCAACTAGACAAGAGTGACAGGTAATAAACTGCAAGAGTACATGCACATGCGGAGGGGATGAGGAGGATAAATTGCACACTCTACTGCTTCTCCAGAAACAAGGAATGTTCCCAAAAGCAGGGTTTTTTTTGCAGATCCAGCTGGATGGATTAGTTTTTGAGCTTCAGCTCTAAAGGACTGCTCAGTCAGCCCACTAAGACAAAAATCACCAGCTGCTGTTGGCTGAAGGGTCGGTAACTTCAAAGGAGTTGCACTGCTTTAGGTGGGATTAAGGAAGTGGGCTTTAATGCAAATAGAAATCCTAATTCCCTTTTAAATCATGTTGTTATGTGGCCTGTCTTTGTTTTTCAGATTACGCCATCTCTGAGCGTACAGAGAAGGTTGAAGACGTTCCTACTGAGGTGAAATTGCCAGCCAAGGAAACAAGTGGATGCCAGAAAGTTTCAGTCAGAAATGCTGTTCCAATTAAAAAGTCTGCAGAGGAGGTGAGCAAGGATTTTGGAAAGTAGGTAGAATCTGTTCAGGATGAAAGAGGAAGCATCCCTCCCTAGTG